GGCAAATAAAAATGAAAAAAGATAGCATACAATATACAGCATTTAATACACCTCAAGGTAAATACAAATGGCTAATAATGCCTTTTGAATTGAAAAATGCACCCCAAATATATCAAAGAAGAATAGATAATATATTTAGGAAATATAATAAATTTTTGATAGTTTATTTTGATGATATATTAATATGTTCTAATAATAAAGAAGAACATATAAATTATTTAATACAGTTCATAAATGAATGTAACAAGGAATGAATTGTTCTTTCCAAAAAGAAAGCTATTATAGAAAAACAAAAAATTGATTTTCTTGGATTAACAATAGATGGTGGAGGAATCAAATTACAAACTTATATATTTAAAAAGATAGATAGTTTTCCAACCGAATTAGAATCTAAAAAACAAATGCAAAAGCTTTTAGGATGTCTAAACTATGCAGAATGATTCATTGAAAATCTTTCAAAAAAGAGACATAAAATACAGATTTCATTATTCATATTATCTAAAAAATTCATTGTTGAAACTGATAATTCTCAAGTTGTAGGATTGGTCAGAAATAAATTACCAATTGAACCTCAATATAGGAGATTACACAGATGGCAAACATACCTATGATTTTATAATTTTGAAATAATCCATATTAAATGAATTAACAATTTTCTTGTAGATTTCTTGAGCAGAAATATTGAATTTGCAGATAGATAATACTAAAAGGATACTAGATGAGCTCAAATCCATGGCTATTTATGCCAGCAAAGAAGCTGAAGATATCAGATTTGGGATGGACAAGATGAATGAAATTTTACAGCATAATGTAAACATTATGATGGAAATAAGCTCATCACATATGATAGTTACTAATGATATTATTGAACGAATTGAAGCTATTGAAGCGCAATTAGGATCATCAGATACCAAAGATACCAAAGATACTGTTGGATACAATCAATTAAGATCACTGGATACCAAAGATACTATTGGATACGAACGGGTTGATACCAAACAGGTACAAACCAGAAGTGATCCACCAAGCGGAAGCAACAGTGGACCGAAAAAAGATATTATTATTCAAAGCCCCAAAAAAATTGTTATTAATGAAGGTCATACCAAATCTATCAGGATACAATCAGATGAAGAGGATAAGTCCCTTTGCCACCAAAAGAAGACGAGTATAAAATGATTACTAAAATGATGTATGAATTACAAACAAGTGATTCATATTTTGTTTCACTAGGAGATCACATTTACCCAATGATAGTAATGATAAAAGGGTCTGAACCAACGATGGTAAAAATGGTAGCCGATTATGGATGCTTAGATTTAATTTATCCAAATAAAAATATTAAAGAACTTGAAAAATTCGACGATATATTTAAATCTGAAGTTTCCAAATATGCTCAAGGAAGATCCATTTATCTAAAATTTTATACCACTAGCCCAGAAGTTGATGGAGGAATATTCTATTTAGCAAAACACATCATAACAATTGGATATGTTGGAAGAAATTTCACCATGGACATTGGAGAAAATAACAAACCATTACTAAAGTTTACCAGAGCATGTATTAAGAACCATAGAGTTCTTGGATACAAAGTTCTTTATAATATGGCCAAAAATCTTTATACAAAAAGATTTAGATGCCTATGTCAATATGAAGGATGGACCCTATTTGCCAATGATTGACAGCAAAAGTCTGAAGTCCACAGAGATTTTATCAACAAATTTGATACCCATCAAATACTAGGATGCATCTCAACCCTACAACGTGCATGTGAAGCAAGAAATTGCCTAACTTGCCAACAAAGTAAAAAAATGAGATTCTAAAGAGATAAGGAAGATGTGACCAAAGGAGGACAGCTGCATATAGAAACAATCTCTTAAAGAAGATGTGACTATAATGGAGGGGCCGATAGACTCTTAATGTCAAAGCACAAATTATTTAGTGCTATATAATGTATGCAATGATATAAGAGGCCAATAATTTTACATCAATTGGATGTATAAATAGATGCCTTCAGGCTAAGAGAAAAACAGAACGAATTGGAGAGAAAAATTTGAGCACTCAACTTGTGAGAAAGTCAAATCTTCTGTTTGAATCTTGTACCAAATTTCAAATATATCAATACTACCGATTTTGATAATATCATTCGATCTTATTGAATGGATATGAGTTTCTAAACTACTTTTTCCATAGATTCTTGAAAGATTAAAGAAGAAATTTCTTTCTTACTTTAACAAAAAGAGAGTTTTCTTTATTTAGGATATGTTGTTTTAATTCTAAGAAACGATACAGTGAAGGCAAGAAGCTGAAATAGCAAAGATCCCGTTAATGCAATAGGTCGTTGGAGGGAACAGTTTGCATATTTAAAGTTTGAAGATCACTCGATTCTAAGGATAAAAGTTTTAGATCAAAACTAAGGTAAAACTATTGTTTTTGTTAAATTTGGAAATGATTCTTCTAAGATCATAAAGAATAGTAGGGATTATTCATTTCAATGACTATACTTAAATGTTTATGTTTAAGCTGTTATTATTTCACTATGTTCATAATATGCCAGGATATACAGTTAAAGAATTAGATAATTTGTTAGATAGAATGTTAGAAAAAATAAAAAACATTAAATCCCAACTAGAAAATAGAGATAGATCATCTGAAGAATATAAAAGATTTATGATAAAATATAAACAAAAGATTATAGATTGTGATAATTTATTAGACCAAAGGATGTATCTATTCGTTAGAATCAACAAATGATAGATTTGTATGTTAGATTGGATCCCAATCTTTACCGACCCATTAGTTATTGGGTTTCGTTGGGCAGCTACTTAATGGCATGGGTTTTCTAGCTCGCATAAACTATATCTCTTATTGCGCTTGTGTCCCCATTAATTTCTTGTGTTATTAGGTCCCCAAAATATCATTTATGGTACATGCAAGGTCAATTGGATGGTAGCTTGTCAAATTAACTTGCACCATAAATGATAGTGTTACTCGTTTGTTGGTATTTTCACATCTTTAAAATGGACTTGTCATCAATCACTTTGATTACGCAGAGTCTTCATTCAAATGACGTATCGGAATTGGATTAATGGCTCCAATGGCAAGTCTTGGTATGTGAGCTATTCTTCATGCTCTCGCCAACTATAACAGTAATCCTCCTTAGGAAGATGTGTCGATGGTAATCCACTCAACTCTATCGATTTGTGGGTCTCATGCTAGAGAAACCTCAACCCAAAAAGGCTTTTGTTCTAGGACTTTTCATGTGTTGCCATGACTTATTTTGCTCTATGCGAATGTTGCTACTTTCGCATTCTTCTTCTACACTTGGAGGGACAGTGGCGGATCTAACACTCGACGAGCACCAATGACTGAGGTGACAATAGATAATTTTTTGAATAATATATATGACAATTCATTTTGTTTTCAAACATTTGTCTTAGCTCAGTTGTTAAAGCATCCATTTTTAAATTTGAAATCTGGAAACCCAATGTCTGCCAATGCAATTTATTGTGCAATCATTCTAGTTCAACATTTTTTTTTTTACCAAAACTAACACAATGGGAGGGATTCGAACCTTTGTACTCTCCTTTAGATTATTATGGAAAACTTGACCATCATGACACTTGATGAATTTTGACAATAAATATAGCAGATTATTATATGTTCAGTCTTAAAGAGTTTTAATGCAATTGAAAAAAATCCAAGCATATGCTCATCTTTTAAATTATGCAAAACTTAGCCACTGCATCATTAGGTGAATATTGACAATAAATATAACAAAATTATATATGTTCAATTTTAACAAAGTAATTGATATATTTAATTTTTAATATTTTATTACGATCGATTATCAACAGTCAACGATCGCCTATACTCGCTCAAGATCCTAGATCTGCCACTACTTGAAGAGGGGGAGGGAATGGTCAAAACACCTAGTCAAATTTGTCGACTAACGCAATAGCATAAGTTACAAAATTTAAATGGTACATTTTTCATAGTAAAAGACTCTTAAACAAACCAACGACTATTTCATCTCATCAATATTTCATCTCCTCCAACAATTAATCCTCGCTAATTTCTATTCTACTTGTTCATATTTATCTTCAAAACTAATAATTATTAGAAGCCAACATTCTGACATTTTGGATTAGTAAGAAGATTTTATTTTCATACATTTCGTTTAGTTTGAATTTCGTATGTAATAGTTAAACGTCATGTCGTTTTATTTTAGTACGTTTAGATAAATGAGCATGAATTGTTGGACATAAAAATCGGTCTCATCTTCCCATAAGGTCTATCGTATTGAAAGGTCATCTTTCGAATTCGAGCAACAAAAGGAGGAGAATTTTTACACAAATTTATTGAAAAGAAGTTTGCATTCTATCATGTGTTAGGAAACAGACGGGATTCTAACGGGCTGCATGTTAAGAGATGACTATTCCGTATTTAACATGTAATCAATTAAAGGCCATCGATAAACCAACTCCGTAAAACGGTTTTAAGCTAGTGTAGTTTAATGAGAAGCGTAGGAAAACTAAGAAAATTCTCATCTTCAGTGTTAAAAAAATATCTAGACCTCCTAAACTTGAAAGGCTAATGGAGATGGAAGAGACTTCAACCTTATTACCAGCTTTTGTGCCTAAAGTTGCTAACAGTCTTGCCACTGTATAATTCACTGGCCTGGCCTCGCCGGGCCTGGCCAGAAGTCGGGACAAAAACAAACTCCAGGTTCTTGAGCAATTCAGCAAGCAAGTCAAGGTCCAGTTAAGGCACACCAATCACACTTACATTCTGGAACGAAGTAGAGGCAACAGGAGCTGCAACTTCATTTGATTTCAACTGCAGAAACTGATACTTCCAATGGTTCCACATCAGTCATTTGCTTGATGGAGATTTCTGGGGTTAGTAAACATCAGTCATTCCCCCATTCCCAAGCTTCCCTCAGTCCGGGCTACTTTCAAGAATTGTCCTGTAAACAATTTCCCTCTCAGTTTTTCTGCACTTCAATTCCTTTGATATTTCCACCAACGCCAACAGGCCATGAATCTCGCTAATTTGGCTTGAGCATGGAAGAAAAAACAAAACATAACAAAATGCTGAATACAACACGTGCAGTTCCAATGTTGTTGCGCTACATAAGCTAAAATAGGAGTAACGAAAAGCAGTGTCCAAACAAAAAGGGTGTAGTTGGTCTGACAGCATATGCAGGAGAATGTGAAATGTGAAAATTTTCATTTACAATTGGAAAGGTTGCTTTGTCACATAACCACTTGATATTTGGAATATGTAGCAGCAGACAATCTTTTCCATTCAAATCAAAATTTGAGCTTGTAAATATTAAATGATCGGTTATTTGCAAGCTTCAAAACCGCAATTTACATAATCAGTTCATCTGCAAGGTGCCAACAAATTTATCTCCCAAGATCACTTGTTTGTTGAATGATCAAATCAAATTCTCAACAAATTTATCTCCCAAGATCACTATTTGTTGAATGATCAAATCAAATTCTCAATCCAAGTGAATTTGCATCAAGTAGAACCCCATTCAATAATCACCCGTCTCCCCCAATAAATAGACTTCGTAAAAGAGATCGAAAGTAATTTGGTTATTACAGCTCAGACTTGGTAAAAGAGATTGTTAGTAATCTGGCCTGTGAAAGGAAAACGTGCAATGTTCTTGAGAATGTTGATCCCTTCAATTGTGAGGTTGAATTACTTCTCTCCATTTAAAACCATATGATTAGAGGTTATGCAAAACTTTGATATATACATAAGATCAAATAAAGTTTTTCTAGCTAACCTGTCTTTTATTGCAGTGCTCCCAAAGGGAAAGAATCATGCTTGAGAGTTTGGCCATTTATTATTACATTCAAGTTTTAGTTCCTCTAAGCCGGAAATAAATATTGCCATTTTATGTCTGCCAGCGCTTATCCATGACAACACAAACTCATGTTTCTCTTGCATGATGATTCTACAAATCTCCATCAATGCATCAAAAATCACACCACGATATTAGCCCATTAATCATTCTCAAGAAAAAGGTTGTACTGTATTTGATGTACAAAAAATTTAGGAATAAGAAAGCACCCTTTTCTTCAGAAATATGTCCAATTAGTTTAATTTTTCATTGCTATGGAGCTTCCAAGTCATTCCATTACTATCATTAGCCAAGGCAAAGCAATAATTGCCAAATGATTCTAAAACAGTTCCAAATGATTAAAATTTAATCCAACAAACAGAATTCAAAATTTCATCACATGAAAGATACTGTTAAAAGTAATAGAAATTATCCATTGACTGTAAACTAAAGTAAAACACATTCAATGTCTAAAACATATTGCTTAAACCAAAATTCATAGTAAAGACTCAAATTATAATCGTTCAAAAAGCGATTAAGACAGAATCTAAACAGCAGAAAACAAGAATTCCAACTCAGATAAATTAGTTTCTCAATCATCACCAGCCTTATTGTAGACATAGGTAAGCCCACACTTACCACAATAGTGCCTGTCAAAATGATTGGCCATGAAAGTTCCGGCACCACACTCAGCGTTGGGACACTCCTTGCGCAGCCTCTGGACCTTGCCGGAGTCATCGACCTTGTAGAACTGGAGGACAGCTAGCTTGACCTTCTTGTGCTTGTGCTTGATCTTCTTTGGCTTGGTGTACGTCTTCTTCTTGCGCTTCTTAGCGCCGCCACGGAGACGGAGTACGAGATGAAGGGTGGACTCCTTCTGGATGTTGTAGTCGGCGAGGGTGCGTCCGTCCTCTAGCTGCTTTCCGGCGAAGATGAGGCGCTGCTGGTCCGGAGGGATACCCTCCTTATCCTGGATCTTGGCTTTGACATTGTCGACGGTATCGGATGACTCCACCTCCAGGGTAATGGTTTTCCCCGTTAGGGTTTTCACGAAGATCTGCATCTTCGAAGCGGAGGCGAATCCACAGCTAGGGTTTGGGATAGGCACGGTTGCGACTTGCGAGTAATTCTGTGCTATTTATTATTTAATGCCAGAGGCTATGGGATATGGGCTTAGCTGGGTCCATCAGTAACATCAAAAGTAGGAAGCCCATCGTGATTATTTTCATTTTTTTATCCTTTTCAATTTTCTTTAATAGTAAAATAACTTTTTTCCAAACAATATGTATTATTATGATTCAAGAGAGTTTGTTTTAAATTTCATACTTAATGACATAGGATTTGATATGAAGAGAAAAATATTTAGAGCTGAATTTATTTAATTGCAAAATGCATAATTAATAACTACAAGATGTATAGACTTTGGTTTAAGTATTTAAAAATAAACAACATCAAACACATCAAACTTTCACTTAATACGATTTACAAACCTACAACTAACTCTTTAACCTCCCTCGAATTAATGGAGAGGATTCAATAATAAACTTGATTTTTAGAACCTCGCATTGAGTTGCATTTGTCCTTAAAACTTTAATGTAACACATTTGTGTCTAAAGACATTGACCTCCAACTCCTTATCGATCATATCATTTGAAGTGCACATTATCTATTTCAATATGATTCATGCAAGCAAAGAACGCAGAGTTAAAAGTTAAAAGACCCATCTCATTTGTTGTCGCGCCACAATACTAGAGTTTGTGATTCCCACAATCTTAACTCATTGTGAAAAACATGAAGCCAAACTAACCTTATAAATTCCTAAGCATGTCTCTTTTCAAAACACATCATGATTGTAACAGTTTGTGATTGTTGTCATATTTGTAATTTTAGTAAGTCAAGAGCTATTTAGTTTGTACAAAACAAATGGAATATGTTCAAATCAATAGAGATAGAAGTTGTGCATAGAGGAACCGAGAATGCTAGAGATTAGGAAGCCCTATACGAAGAATGTCAGGGTGCACATCTTATGGAAAGTGAAGATGCGAGCGGTTCTAGCGCAGATGAATTTGGAGGAAACTTTGCTTGACTTTGATAAAATGCTTGCTATCTGGACGTAGAATGAAAAGCAGCGTAGGGATTGAAAAGTCCAATCTCAAATTCATATATATCTTTCAAATCAAATACTTCATGATATTCTAAAGCAGAGAAGTGTTGCTGCATTGTGGTTGAAGTTGGAGTAACTTTGCATGACAAAGAGTTTGACCAACAAGCTACACTTGAAACAACACTCGTATTCTCACCGGATGTCTGAAGGTGCATAATTGGATGATCACTTAACTATGTTCAAAGAAATCGTGGTTGATTTTGAGACATTGAAAGTTAAGTATGACGATGAGGACTTGGCGTTGATGTTGTTGTGTTCTCTGCCACCATCATATGAGATTTTTGGAGATATTATTCTCTATAGTCAGGATACTCTCACCGTGGAAGAGGTTTATATACTTTACTATCTAAGGAGAAGATGAGGCATCTTTCTGGAGGATTTGGATTCATGCTAAAGGCTTGGTTGTGCGTGGGAGAAATCAATATAGGAATCTTGACAGAATTATCAAGGAAAAATTGAAATCTAGACATGCTAAGAAGACATGTCGCTATTGTAAGAAGAAGTAGCATATTAGAGCTGATTGATATGCCTTGAAAAACAGAAATAAAGGTGTTGGTGCTACTAAGAAAGGAAAAAAAACTCGTTAATTCAGCGGGGGCTCAAGTTGTGGAAGATGGACAAAGTGCTTCTTGTGATTTTTAACATGGATTCCAAACCACAGAGGAATGGGTTCTTGACTCGGCTTGTACTTTTCATATTTGTCCCAATAGGGACTAGTTTTCAACATATGAAGGAGTATCGAGAGGTGCAATTATTATGGAAAACAACGCACCTTGCAAAATTATTGGAGTTCGTACAGTTAGAATCAGAATTTTCAATGGGACTATTAGACTACGTACAGATGTAAAGCATGTTCCAGAACTGAAGCAGAATCTCATATCTTTGAGTGCAGTTGATTTAAAGGGTTATAGGTACACCGATGAAGGTGGAGTTTTGAAGATGAGTTGGGGTACTCTTGTTGTCCTGAAGGGACATAAAAACTCTACACAGTTGTACATTTTGCATGGTTCCACAGTAATTGGGTATGTAGCATGTTCGTGAGATTCCGCAAGTGTACGGATCGTGACAAGAAATAAAGTGGATTTGTCAAGTTCAAATATCGTCCTACAGAGACTACTATCTACTGTAAAGTTTTAAACTAACCTAACTTCAATTTAAATTAAACTGGTAACTAATGATCAAATCAAATTGCATTTTCGAAGCAAAGTTCTAATAAATAAAATAGCAAACTATTAAATAAAATAACAAACTCAAATTAAACTGTGGATAATATTACATGATTGGATAGTTAGGATTTTCGATTTCACTTAAATTATTGAATATACATTTAATTACAATTCATTCAGTCATCTTTTCTTACGTGCTAACGATCAAATTAATCCGATGTAGTTAGTGATCTCTCTTGAGCAACACTAATCATATTCATATTCCCGAACTTACTATATCTCTATATAAATTCACACACATATGAACGCATTTATCTATAGGAATTCAACAAAAATAGTATAATTTATAATTATCTCTCGATCTCTTATAATGTTTATGTCAATTATTGCACGACATAGAATTATACATATCTCTTATAATATCTATATTAATTATTGCACAAGCTAAAATTATACATCACCTCTCGATTTTAGTATTATCCCTAAATCAATCAATTATTGTGCAGACAATTAAAGCATTAAACACACAATAATTAATTAACAAGTATCAAAATGATATGCAAATCTTGAAATTAAATATATAATAAAAACATTAAACTACATCATCCAACATAACAATAAAAGTTTTTAGCCACTCATAACGTTGAAATTAAACACGTAAAAGTGGAACAATATCACCAAAAATTGACGAAATGTGAAGCTTTTCATGTGTTCCGTCTACTTTCAATTGTCTGCGTGTGTATATATATTTTAATGTTAGCCTCTTTTACTTTTCTCTCCAAGCCGTAATTCTTGACTTCTTCTTCTCCTTTTTCTTTTCTCTTTCTTTTTTCCATGTTTCCTCCTATATATATATATATAGATAGTAGACAAAAGAAGCCAATAATTTGAACAAAATAACTCAGAGATAATTTGAAGAAATACTTTGATTGATAATTGAAAGTTACAAGATTGAGAATACAAAGAACTTTGAAGTGAGAAGTTTATCTCCCGCAACTAAACTCTGATTACATTGAATAAAAAACATTGAATTTATAACTTGAAAAAGTAAAAAGCAGAAGGAATCTTGAATAGTTGATTGAACAGTTGATTGCGGCCTTGATTGAACAGTGTTTTGTCTTCATCTTCAGCCGAAAGTTTGAGGTGACTAAAGTTAAAGTTACTTTTGAAAAAGAAAGCATCTTCTTTATCAAAAGCATTACTTTAGTTTTACTTTAATCAAATCTTCTTTTGATTCTTCTTTTGATATGTCGGCAATGCTGGCAAAAATAATTTATTTGCTGGCAGACACATTTTGAATAGTATCTCTTTCTTTTGATGGTCCCTGTATTCTTTAAGTTCATCAAGAAAACTAGGTCCATATAGTCATTTTGATTTTTGAGTATTTTGAAATTCTTCGCCAATGGCTGCGTCAAAATCAATTCCATAACAGTCATCTTCATTTTGATAGAAATCAAAGTCTGCTTCTGAACTTTCTTCAGATGATGATTCTTGAACTGAAGCTTTTGAAGCCCTTTCAGCAAGAGAGGAAATCTTTTCTGCTAAAATAGCCATTTCTTCAGGATTAGTACATTGAGCAAGAAGAGTCAATAGTCGATTCTTTTCTATAAGGAAATCAGCATGAGCTTCTTCTT